CAGAGGCGCTGGGTATCAGCACCAGCTTCATCCCCTTCCTCACCCCCAGGAGCTCCCTGTGCCAGCGCCGGAGTTCGGACAAGGCGGCAGCACGGAGGCTGCGTCGCAGCCCGCAGCTCAGCCCGAGCTGAGCCCGTCCCCACGGGCAAAGGCAGTTCCGTACCTGTCCCGAGTGAGGGGGTCTCACCCTAGGCAGGAAGATTGTGGAAATACTGAGGGGAAATCCACACCATGGAGATGGTGAATGGTGTCCTCGGTACCCACCTCGCCCCCAGGGCTGTGCTGGAAGTGCAGGGGAAGGGCAGTGGCCCCAGGGGACAGGGCTGTCGGCCAGAGGCCAGCCCCAGCCCCCTCCCCGGGGGAGCAGGGTGCCAAGCCCAGCTCCCCTTCCCACCACCAACCTCCGCCCTCGCGGCTTCGGCGCTGGCTGCGTCCCCCACCCAAGCGACGCCACGCTTCCCGCTGCCTCTCGAACCCGCTTTACCACGGTGAACACACAAAGCCCCAGAGCCAACGCTCACAGAAACACAGCACTGAGCACTTACCTCCTCCCAGCTCCAGGGTTCGAAGCCCTCCGGTCCTGCTGCGCTACGGCCGCCGAAGAGGCGCGGGGCCTTCTGCCATAGTGCAAAAAATAAAATAATTTAAAAAAAGACTACGGCTATTGTACCCAGATTTCTCTCAGCGGGCTCCGGCCAATGCCAAGCATCCACCACCCTCGCTTCCTGCTTGCCACCCTCGCTTTCCTGGAGGAAAACATGCATTTTAAATGTTTATTTAGAGCCATAAGAATGTCAACAAATTGTATTTAAATACAAATAAATATCAAAGTATGTTTCTGTCGGGAACACAACCACATACCTGATTTGAATCTAGGTGTTTTCTATATTCCTAATAGAAACAGAATTGCTTGCTGTTCTCAGTAACACAGATACGGATCCGGAGGACTACAGACATCAGGTCACGCAAGAACAAAACCCAGGCTGTTCACCGAGGAATGTAAACGGGTTTTACTGACACTCACAGGGGTACCAACCCCGACGACACTACTTTTCTCTTTACTCAGGTACCCAAAAAGTAGAAAGCAAATATTTAACGGCACGAGCCCTCCTCCTGAACAATTCAGGCTTTTAACAACCCCTCCGTCGCACAAACGCACAGCTCGACGCCAGACGCTCGGCTCAGCAGCGGGGAGCGCGCTCTGCTCGGAGGCGGGTGTGCGGCTGCAGGAATACCAACCTTCCCGTGCAGCGCCGGCATACAGAAACCAGAGGCTGCAGAAAAATCATTGTCCTCCTGGTGTCCAAGACCACTGTTAACCAGCTCGGGGAGGCAACTCGAGAGTGTCCAGAGAGGCAAAGATTCCCCGCTGCCAGGATTAGAGAGCGGACATCGGCAAAACCAGCCCGACGTCCCCCAGACCTGAGCACACGCGTCCTCCAGCATCCCCCCTGCAGACGCAGCCCCAGCACTGCGCGTACCAGGGAGCAAGCGCTGCCTCACGGAGTGTTTTTCCTCGGATTTCCATTTTGCAGGTCACATTTAGGGAGAAGCACGTGCTGCAGACCAACCGGTCTAAGCGAAGCGCCGTCCATCGGACCTGCAAACGAAGCAGCTGGGGCAGGCAATCCCCAGCACGCCGCAGAACCGTTCCGCCACTTCACACCGAGAGGCAAACGATCACCTTTCCCAGGCGGCGAAACCCCGACGCTGGACCGAGGTCATGTGCTTGACAGATGTCTCTGAGGCGGCAGGGTTCTTCTCACGCTGTCACATCTGGTTTAGGAAGGGATTACCGAAGGCAAACACCAGCTACGCCACGGCCGCGCTCCGAAGCTCACGGCACAGCGCCGACCTCCGCAGCGCGTAAATACGCCAGTTCCTACACGGAGGCACATGCCCGCAGCTGAAACGACCCTCAAATACCCGCGCTGCGTCGCGACTTCTCTTACGGTTATCACCTCATAAAGCCCTACCTTAAAGTTTGCAAATCAAAATGCAAAATAAATTCGCTCCGGTGCATATAAAATATCGCATGCACAGTTACTAGAAGTGTTGCAAAATCTATTTAAAATGAGTTTTATTGAGATGAAAAAGTTTTCCATGGTTACTACAGAATGTTAATCAAAACCAAGTGCTTCCCCTCCATTAAAGACACAAATCGAAACACTTTTTGTTCAAAAACGCTTTAAAGTAATCAGTTAAATGGAGTATTTTCGGATGTGCTTTACTCCATACACTGGTTACTGTTTCTAATCTTGCTAATGAATGCACACTAACGAGAGGTTGTCTGCGTGTTCATCAGAGGCTTTGAAGGGAACCTACTTCTCTGCACAGCGCTCAGCCGCGCAGCCATGCTGGCGGGAGGGGGTACTCAGCAGACCACCTAAGGTGTTACGGAACGCGGCGCCGCGCACAGCGGTGCTGGGCTCGGGTGCCAGCATCCTTCCCGCTCGACAAGGTACAAAAGCATCGGAGGACTCCAGGTATACAAAGCAGGGTTTCTCGCTACCATTATCCACTCATCAGCATCATCTTCTAGATTTCCAGGCAGCTCTGGAATAAGGAGTAGTCCTTTTCTTATCCGGTGGTTTGAAGTAAGAATAAACCGGTGCTGCTGGGTATTCCGCATCTGGATTTTCTGCCATCATTTTCAGCTTGGCTTCAATGGCCTTTATCTTCGCACTGACACTGGAAAGAGGAAAAGCAGAAGAGAAATTCTAAGCACAGAATCAGACTACAGCAATGCAGAGGTTTTGCTGACACGTGAATGCTCAGTCACAGGAGGAGGGGGCTAGGCAGCCCCCACCGCTGCAGTCACAAGCAGCGAGAAGTTGGGAGGCAGAAATCGACTGCTTAAAGCCCACGGCGTTTCATTTCCATCCTCAGCACGGACCTGCTTAGGAAAAGTCCTCCAAGATACATCACAGCACCACGAAATAACAGTCCTTGCACCTACTCAGCACTTTCTTGAGGACACCGAGCGAGACGAGTACACCAGAAGGCTTCCTCCTTCATGTAAAATGATGTCATGTAAAGAGGTCTGAGCATGTGCAGCAGAGCGCAGCGCAGACCAGGCTGCTGGGAACAGCACAGAAATGAAAGCCAGACTTCCTCCCAGCTACAGGACCGCTCGGGATGGGAAAACCCCAGACTCCAATTAGGTCAGGAAGAAACATTATTTCAGCATTAGCAGGGTTTATCCCAAAGGGAGAAGCTATCCTAGGTTACACCCCAAATTCCTAGGACTTTTGTTATTCACTGTCCTGCGTCGGGTATGGACCGAGGAATGTTCCCGTCTCTGCTGTGGCTTCTTGCAGCATCCATCCTCACTAAAACAACTCTTTTGTGCCACTGACGTAGCTAACCATCTGCATGACTCAAGTCTGCCCGCTCATTGCTTCCCAGCGTGTAACTTCTGAATTCCAAGCTCATTTTATCTGTAGGCAAATTCATTATCCCCAGTCCTGGATCCTTATAGGGTTCCACTGACAGAACACAGAGAAAAAAAAAAAATCACCTATCCTTTCAATCAAACTATGAATTAGCAAAGCAGCACTAAGTGCTTCAGGTAAACGGAGGGGCTGGAGAATTTCCCCCCCCCCCACAGCCCTGCCGTTGGCAAAAAAAAAATAAATTGTTTTATGTGAAGCACTACCTGTGATTTTAAATTTTTGCCACTACAGTACACATTCTCGCTCAAGCATTTTGCTTAAGCAAATTAGTACAGTACAAAACCTCTGACTGAAATTCATACGCAGAAGTGCAAAGCACACTCTGGGCAAATGAGCTGGCACATTCCCAATTCCTCTCCTCCCCTCTCTTCCCTCCCACTGCCCTAGGAGCTCCACGGGTTAGAAAATGAGCTTCAGGTCTGAAGTGTCCCACATCAAATTTAGAGTTACTTTGCAGCATGCTGCCCTTCTAAAAACCACGTCAGACTTGCAGCACGGTGTATGTGGGTGCAGGTGACATACCTGCATGCTTACTGTTAGTCCCTGCCACTCCCGCAGGCTGGTCACCTCCCGCCCTCCCCACCTCCTACCTGAGGTTAGACTGGGGCGGCTCCGTGCTGGAAGACGGCTCCAGACTGATTGGAAGGATCTTCTCATTTTTATTGTGGTCATATCTCTGCGAACAAGAGACCAAGGACTGAAGTCAGCTGGAATTATGAACAAAGAAACATTTGCCCAGAGACACACTTTAAAGTCGGATCAGCACCACCTCAGACTTTGTGAAGCTTTCGCCAGGAATGATTTTGGTGGCCAAGCACCGTAACAAATTCCAACTGTAATATTTGTTTAGTACCAACATGGAACGTAGACTCCGACACCGAACACTTACGTGCGTTGTACTACAGATCCTCAGGCCTTACCCTGTCTTAACACTTCTTGTTCCCCTCTATATAAGGCATGAAGCAAAGATTGTAAATTTTAAGGTAACTACTGTACTGTATTATATATTATATTATTATAGATATTGTGCAGAGTCAGAAGGTGACCCAAGCACAGGACTGCACAGAATCATGCAGTGCTGGGAGAAACGGGCAAACAAAAAGAAAAAAAAAGACCAGTTAGAACCACCTCCTTTCTGTACAAAGCAGCTCACGAGTCTGTCATCTCTGCGGGCAATGGGCCTCCTGAACTATTCGCAGTGGTCTGCTTCCTTATTTCGCTTGGCACAAAGTCAGGCTTGTTTTTCAGCAGAGCTGCTCTAACTGACAGTGGCTGGTAAGCCTTGGCCACTCAAAACTATTTAACATGGTGCTGGTATTGTCTAAAATAAACACTTGTTACAGATAGACAAAGCTCTATGTTGTTAAATCTTTCCATTTGCAGGTTAGAAAATGCCCTGCAAACTGAACTGATTATTTGTGCATGCTCTTCACCACCCCCCGGCGAGGCAGGCACCGAGCTGCCCGCTGGACGCCCAGCTGAGCAGACGCTTGCTCCTCTGGCTGAAACCCCTTTCACAGCCTGACTGCTCCTCAGGCCTCCGGAAGCACGTGGTGCTCCAGGAGCTACGGAGCTGAAGAAAAAGGAGACTGGATTTGCACAAGCTTGGATGTGCTGACAAGAGCCTGGAGCCCTTGAAGCCAATAATTAAAACAACACGGTCTCCTCTAACAAAGATACCTGTTCTGTGGGGTTTTTTTTTAGCATCCAAGCCAGATGCACTGGTATATGTGGTAAGAGAAAGGGCAGAAAGCTGCTTGTAGGATAATCAACACATGCTAAAAACAAACTACCCGAAGGCAAACAGCAACAAGAAGCTCCTCCCGCCTCCCCCAAAAATCCATTTTTCTGCAAAGCAAATTATTAAAAATAAATTGTATTATCAAATACCGGATAGTAAATAACTGCAGGAGAAACAAGACAAGAATTTTAAAAATTTGTAAAAAAAAAAAAGTTTCAGAAGCTACTGCCTAAGTTAATATTAAAAACTTGACATTTTGTGCAGCCAAGCAAGCAATAAAAGGATATTTAGCTTAGATGTGAAATATGTTGCTTTAAAGTCAGAAATAATTAGAGCTGCTGCCACGTAAGTGCTTTCAGAATTGGAACAAAGCAACAAATTACTTGGTAATTGGGAATTTCCACGCATCTCCTATCCAAAAAGGGAGCAAAACCACAAAGGGAGGATGCAAACTTTCAGCCAACCACTCGCCAAGTTTGGGAAAAGTTAAAGTGTGGACATTTATAGAAGTAATCTGTCCACAGCGCTCTGAGCAGAAGCTCCCCTACAAAGCAGGCCGGGTTACACGGCCCGCTCTCACTCACAGCTCACCCAGCACAGCTTAGGCAGACAGCAGAAGCAGCAGATTGTTACACACCGTTTGCCTGGGAGTTATCTCCTAGAATAGACTAAATTACCTTGCCAGGCTAAGACAGCCTTGATAAGAATTGTTCCTTAATATTAATTTTTTTTTTTTTATTTTGCCAACGAAAAGCAGCTCTTATTTACCCCAAGCAGCTTACCTTGACTTGTGCGTGTGCCCACCGCACCACCAGTTTCTTGGAAAGGGCCAGCTTCCCATTGAGACACTGGATCGCCTTCTCTGCTTCCTGCACAGGATGCACAGGAAGCCAGTTCAATAAACAAACCAAGTCTTTAGTCAAAACTGACTCAGATGTAAAGAGGTTTTTTTCCTTTGGAAACGAGCCTTCTGTAAGTACAGCTAACTGACAGCAAAGAAAGTCTATCCCGTTGGATCCCAATCCACGAACACCTTTGGAAGACACCAACATCCCTCTGAGTAACCAGACTTTTATAAACCAGTAAGGCCGATTCTTTCACTTTTGGGGGAGGAAATGGGGAAAAAGGTCAGGGGTTTGAACGTACCACATGTAGAGGCCACTGGACAGCATTCTGAGGGAGGTTTGTGCTACAGGAATTTCTCTAGGAAATGCTGTGACCCATTACAGCGATTACTTGTGTCTCACTAACACCCACCCACGCTTATTCCAGACACTGCTCACGCACACTGGGGGAACTACCCGCTTGATCTAGGCTCAGCAGTGCCACCTCAGCTTCAGGACACTCCTATAAATCCTGATTTACAGCAGCTGAAAATTTATGTTGCAATGCTGCTCCACCTTGCCACGAATAATGATTCCAGCATAGCTTCTAGAGCTAACGCACCGCGTCAGGGCTCTTACGACATCCCTCCCGGCAACTGCACAGCTAAAAGAGGAGGGCATACAACAACAAGCAATCTCCAAACACACTGTTCTTCATAACTTTTGAACAAGTCTAGCATAATTGTGACAAAATAACTACAGCTCTGACGTTACAGGGGAGCATGACTTGAAATTCTGATTTGTAACAGGAGCCAAAGCCCCAGATGGACAGCCGGGGCAGTTTACTCCAGGATGCTGCAGATTTGTCACGTCGCACATGTGGCAGCGTCGCCCAAGTTGGTGCTTGCGCGTTCACAAAGCCAGAGCAAAACTAGGAGGACTTCAGAGCAGTCTGGGATTTCAGGTGGCCTGGCAGGCTGATCCAAGGCACGGATCACAGCATCTCCACCGCACAACTCCATGAGCTCACTACAAGAGCGGACCAAAGAACGAGCCCGTTCCGACCAGCACAGAAAGCAAGATTCGGGGAAAGTCAGCACAGGAGAAAGGAAATCGCTATTGCTACCTCCAGGAGCAGCCACAGAGGGGCTGTCGCAGAGCGGGGCTGTTAAGAGCCTGTGGGTTCGTGTAGACAAGTTATTTAACTTCTCTCTTCCTGTTTTAGCTTTACAGTGACATTTAAAAAAAAATATGGGGAAAGCAGCTAGTCATTTAAATCAGAATTTTAGATAAAAGGAACGTACCTGTTTGGTTTCAAAGTTCACAAAGCAGTAACCCCTCGGCTGCCCCTCCAGCGCTCCAGACTTGTGGAAGAGAAAGTCAAATTGCTTCACTTTGCCAAACTTCTGAAGGAGTTTGAGAAGGTGGTACCTGAAGGGGAGAGCAGACAATTATGAAACCTTTCAGCACTCTGAAAACGAGGAGACAGAACTCCCTGACACACACACCCCACATCGGTCACACAAATACGGGTATTCCCAAGCACCCAGAGATGCGCACCCTGCACCGCAGGCTCCAGCACCCACGGCTCCGAGCTGCGTTACCAGTGACTGCGCCAAAACCCCGAGGCACCAAGTTCCCCTCCCCGCCGTGCCAGCTGAAGGGCGTGCAGAAGATCTATTAATAGTTGGCTTTCGGACAATTATGCAACGGTTTGCTAGGAGTTTAGGAGGGCTTTGCCTCCTGCCACTCTAAATCACACCTCCTCTCAAGTGCAAATGTCGTGTCTCCCCCCTCCCTAGCCCCGAGGTGGCCGCCTGAAGCTCCATCCCCCAAAAAAGCTGTCCTAAGCCGTAGCACCCTGCTTCCCTCATGATCCCCGGTGTTCTCACTGCCCTCCCTCTCCCCGCACAGGCGCTGCCAATCCCGTCCCCTCCCCATGCCAAGCAGTATCAGTGCACTGCCACGG